GTTCCTGTATCTCCCCACCCTCACAGGCAGGAATTCCCTCCCAATATCCCATCCATCCCTGCCCTCTGGCATTTTTAAGCCATTCCCCCTCATCCTGTCACTACATCCCCTTGTCCAAAGTCCCTTTCCATGCACCTCCTGACCATGAGCAGGACCCCAAGGCAGGCAGGAGAACAGGGTTGTGTCTCCAGGCTGGGAACCCCTCAAAACCTGTGAGAAATCAGACTCTGGGAGTTGCTTATCTCTTACACCATCTTTGCTCTTCACTTTAATACCTCGGGGCTCCCCTCCTGAGAACAGCTGTCAGGAGATTTGCAGCAGCAGGGATGTGTCATCTGCACCCAGTGATCCAATAGTCCTAACAATTGTGGGTATTATTTCTCTTAAATCTACCCCTTAATCCTATAATGCCATAAAATACCACTGAATCAGAGCTTAGCAGGATTCCAGAAAAGAACAGACTTTTAAAGAGATAATGAGAACTCCACATTTATGTTGGATAGGATTGAAAGGAGAGAATGGGGGAGGCAAAATGTACCAGATGGGCAGATTATTTCATAGTTTCCCTTAATATGATTTCTTCAACCTGAAGCATCTGGTAATTCCACTATCAGATATTAGATAGTGGATAAGATGGACAGGCAGGCTGATCTAACAAAGCAATTTTATTTTCTGGCTACACACAGGAGAGGTTCCCATTAAATCCTGTATCACAGGATACAACAGAGGTGCATAAAATGTTGTATCCAAGCAGGGAATGTTTGCAGGCCCTGGCATCCCATGTAAATATGCTTCACTTTCAATATAGAAAACAACACATCTCCCAAAGCCCCATCCTCCCCAGGCAGGCAGCGAGTGCTGGGCATGGATAAACAATAAAACTCACACAGCAGCCTTGTCCTTCAGAGGATTTTGCAGAAAATTGAGAAAATCTCTCCAGCTCATTTTTGTGAAGATTTGTGTAGAAATCCTGCAGGCAGCACCTTGGGTACTTCCAATCTGGAAGCTGAGATTGTTTTCCAGAACATGCAGGAATCTCATCTTAAAGCCAAAAAAGCCAATCAAGCGTGATTAGGCATGTGTTCCCAGTGCCCTTCTCACTATGGCACTGCCTGGCAGCAGGTTCTGGAATAATTCACCCCAAAACCCCAGTCCTGCCTGTTTTAGCCCAAGGAAGAGCTTTCCCAGCTGGAATGTGTGACTTGGTTCACTGGAAAGTCTCGTGCACAGCCAGCACAGCCTCTCCTGCTCAGGGTGAGGTCCAGGTGGGGCAGGCACAGCTCCTGCCTGGAACCAGCTCCACACAGCTCATCCCAGACCTCTGGGAATCAGCCCAGGACAGCCCCAAATCCCTCACGGGGAACAGCAGGGAAGGGTTTCCACCTCCCAGCCCAGGGGAGCAGCAATGGAGAAAGGGGAAAGCAGAAAAGGGGAATGGGGAAGGGAAGAGAGGAGAAAAGGGAACAGGAAAGGGGAAAGAGGAGAGGGGAAATGGGAACAGGGAAGGGGAAAGAGGAGACGGGAAAAGGGAAAAGGGAACAAGAAAGGGGAGAGAGGAGAAGGGAAAAGGGAAAAGGGAACAAGAAAGGGGAGAGAGGAGAAGGGGAAATGGGAACAGGAAAGGGGAAAAAGGAGAGGGGAAAAGGGAACAGGAAAGGAGAAAGAAGAGAGGGGAAAGGGAACAGGGAAGGGGAAAGGGAAGAGAGGAGAGGGGAAAAGGGAACAGAAAAGGGGAAAGAGGAGAAGGGGAAATGGGAACAGGGAAGGGGAAGGAGGAGAGGGGAAAAGGGAACAGGAAAGGAGAAAGAAGAGAGGGGAAGGGAACCGGGAAGGGAAAGAGGAGAGAGGAAAAGGGAACAGGGAAGGGGAAAGAGGAGAGGAGAAATGGGAACAGGAAAGGAGAAAGGAGAGGGGAAATGGGAACAGGAAAGGGGAAAAAGGAGAAGGGAAAAGGGGACAGGAAAGGGGAAAGAGGAGGAGGGAAGGGGAAGTAAAAAAAGCAAAAGGGAAAGAAGGAAGAGGTGATGGGGAAGGGGAAGAAGGAGAAAAGGGAAGGGATAAGAGAAGTGGAATGGGAAAGGGGAGAGAGGGAAAAGGAAAAGGGAAGGGGGAAGGTGGAGAGGAGAAAGAGAAAGGGGAAAAGTGAAGGGATAAGGGAAGGAGAAAGGGAAAGGGGAAGGAAATAATTCAACTAAAGCAAAGATGATAATCCAAACTACCAGAAAGTGACACCACAATTCCCCAGATCAGGGAAAACAAGGTATTCTGCCACAGCTCCTGGTGCTGGGAAAGACCTCACCTTCTCCTGAACATCATCCTCACACCTCTGGGACCATTCTCCCTGGGAAACCCCTCCTTTCTGTGCCTCTGGGCAGGACTGAGAGACCCTGAGCTGTGAGCTGGACTGGCTCCTCCTCACCAACAGCTCCTGAAATCCCATGGAGCAGGGATATCTGAGTCCCTGAACCCTCAGTGGGGCTGACCACGAGGTGCAGGGAGCCTGGAGACACAAAAATATACACAAAATGTGCCAAACTTCCCCATTACTCTCCTTGCTCCACTTCCCTTTGGCCCCAGGCACAAGAAGCAGGGAAAGGCCTCAGAGCTCTGATGCAGCTTTGCTCAGCACTCAGGGCACTGACACTTGACCACATGAATCTTTCCTTAAAAACAGGGAAAACTGAGAGAAAGGCTGGGGAGTGCCAGCCTGTGCCAGGCCCAGTGCCAGTCCATTGGCATTCCAGACACTCTGCAGCCTTTAGCTGAACCACACAGCTTCACTATTATATTTAAAACCACTACATGCTTTGTAATGCTTATCAGCTGGAGGGTTTTCAACAGTTTTTCCCCACTAATGCTGCAATTTCAAAGCCATTTAGGCTAATTTCCCTTGACTTGAATCTATTTTAATCAGAGACCAGGATACTTGACTTAAATGGTTTGTGTTCAACCCTTCATAAAATCAGCCATAAAACTTTATGCACTAAATAGCGAGGGAACCTTGAAGCCAGAGGTAGGAAGAGGTGAAACTTTCCAAATTCTCCTGCAAACTCCAGCCTATTACACACAGACCAACTGTTCTCTTACAATATCAAGCCAATTGATGCCCAAAACAAAAAGAAAACCAATAAACAAAATGCACTCCTGAAGTTGTTACACAGATAAAAGGCACTGAGTTGTGCAGCTGCACAAATTCCCTCCCAAATCTCAGCCCAGCTCCCAACTGAAGCATTTTGAATGCTGTGCCCTGTCCTCTCCCCCTCTCTCCCATGGAATGATGGATAGTGGAACTGAGGAAAAATACAATGCAAGGCTGAAAATGTCAGAATTAATCCTTTTCTTCCCCCCAAATCTGAAGAGAAACATTACTTCTCAAATTAATTCTCGCCAAGTAATGCTGGCTCTGCTGGAAGTCAGAGCTGGGGATGAGAAATGGAAATCAGCAGCTCAGCCCCAGGTAAGTGCTGGGGAAGGTCTCGCTCCAAGGATCCAGCATTGTGCTGGGATTTGCATATCACAGAGGCAAAGGTGCAATTTGTACCTGCAATTCAGCCTGCCTGAGGAGCTGCAGCAGCACAATGCACAATGGGCTCCATTCCTTTGGAAACTCATCCAGGGATTTCTGTTGTCAGTGCTTGACAGCCTTGGATGCTCCAAGGGGCTGCTCGGAATTCAGGCAGCACCCAGAGAGGTGAAGGAGCAAGAGCTGCCCCTGCCTGGACAATCTGGAGCTCTGGGGACAGGAGGAACAAGAGCTGCCCCTGGTCCCCTGGACAATCTGGAGCTCTGGGGACAGGGGAAACAAGAGCTGCCCCAGCCTGGACCATCTGCCACCTCCTGCCCCACAGAGCTGCATCCCTGCTGCACGGTTTTCAATGCTCTGCAGATGCCAGGCAACACCTTTGTCACTGCCCCAACGACACAGGCATTGGACACGGATCTTTCACAATCCAAACCTCTCTCAGCTCATTTTTTTATCAGGGATTCCACTCCAGGACAGGACAAACTGACACTTTCCTATTTTGAGGAACACTCTGGCAGCCATATCTAAAATTACCCTTCAGAAAGATAAACCTGCAGCGTGTCTTTCCTCATCCTCTTAACAAAATGATGTGTCACCTCTTCTAAAGGCTGTTCTCCTGTGCTGCTTGGCAGGTAAACATCACCAGCACCTTAAAAGCTCAATCAAAAAAAGGACAGGAAAGATATTGCCTGTAGAAACTCCCTTTAAAGGCCCAGATCTCCAATGGGAGATCCCAGAGTGTCCCTGGAGGATCCCTGTGCTGGGAGGAGCCTGAGGAGATCCTGCAGGGACATGAAGGAGCTGACAAGGAGGGAGGGAGGAAGAATTTCTACACACTTTTACAGGGTATTAAACACCAAAACCTCAGTGAAAGCAGAGCTGAGCTTCTGATGGCATCACTTCCACCCAAAATCATGAACTGCTTTAGGAAAACAGAGACAGACTGGGATGAAATTCCCATTTTTCCCCTGATAAATCATCTTGATGAACTCTCTCAGTCTCTCCAACTACCTGGAACCAAGGTGGGGCCAGGTGGGGATCAGTTACTTCTCCCAGGTACCAACTGACAGGACAAGCCTCAAGTTGTGCCAGGGGAGGTTTAGGTTGGATGTTAGGAATTATTTCCTGACAGAAAGGGTGCTCAGGCCTTGGCCCAGCTGCCCAGGGCAGTGCATCCCCATCCCTGCAGAGGTTTAACAGCTCTGCTGATGTGGCACTTGAGGACACAGGTGAGTGGTGGCCTTGGCAGTGCTGGGGAATGGTTGGACCCAACAACCTTTGAGGGTTTTCCAGCATCAGTGGTTCTGTGACTCCAAGAGCTCATTCCAGCCCAGCCACCCCCATTTCTCATCACAGGGCCCTGGGAATAACAAGGGAAGAGCCAGCAGCACCAAACCTGACTGGGAAAGCCCCAGCACTCCTGGCTCTGGGTGACACCTGAACACAAACATTCCCTGCTGGAGCCCCTGGCACTCACTTGGTGGGGCGATAATCCGGGATGGAACGGTCCAGGGAGATCTTCTCACTGAGGTAGGAGTTGTAGCCGTACTTCTCATGGGGTCCCTTGGCTTTCTCCTCCTCCTCGGGGGAGAGGGTGGCTGGGAGGCCACCCTTGCCACGGCCACCATAGCCCTCAATGAGACCAAGGGACTTGGAGAGACCTGGGGGGAAACAAAAACAACATCGC